CTAATATATAACTAATAAATAAGTACTATACTAATAATAACTTATTTATTAGTAGTATATATATATATATATATATATATATATATATATATATATATATATATATATAACCAGCCGAATTGAACCGCCTGATTTTTTCCTACACTGCATATATCCCAAACAAGAAAAAGAAAAAAAAGACTAGAACCTTAATGGAAGAGACAGAGACCTGAATTTCACATATTACAAGATTTGGGTATTAATAGGTCAAAATAAAATCTCGATATTGGCAATCATGGGGAACTTTACAATAGAGTATACTCAATATTGCCGAACTAAACCTATAGATTCCAAATTTGGATAACCAAGCAACAAATAAATTTTTTTCCCCCTTTTTTGCTAAGCATCAACGATGACAGCAACAATTAATTAGACGTGCAAGTGACACATAACCTAGGTACGCTATGGCACTTTTGAAAGACTTCAATAAACAGCTAGCACTTAATTGAGTTCATGTTTTACTGAAATTTCTCAAAGCCAATATGAGAAGAAGATCATCATCATCATCATCATAACCTCTTTCCAGATAATTGGGGTCGGCTACACCAATCTTGATCCGCCATTCCATCCTATTATATATGTAGAAATTCGTTTTACATGATTTGAGTCCAGACTTCGGACTAGAGAGGAGATTTAAAGCCAGCTTCATATACAAAATATCCATGTGCCTATGAGGATTCTGTGCTTTTCTAACAATCCAATTGATAAGGTACATAGTTGAATGCTCTTTGCATCTCAGGAGAACTCGGACATCCATTTTGTCTTGGTCCAAGAAACTCACTCAAGTTCTTTCAAATATATGGGGCATGAGGAAGGTTAAAAACCATATGCCCATATAAACTGACTGAAGAATGACAAATGTTCCAATGTTCTATGCCTCTGCGAAAAGGCTGCTAAAATCTTCACTCCAACAATCCAAAGCGGTCAATGGGCCATATCTACTTCAAGAGTTGGGAATTTTAGAATCAGTTATCAAAGTTTCCAAACTTCACATGTGATGAATAAGTTCTTGCCAAATAAGTGAAGAGATTGCAAGAATTTTAAGGTCCTCCAAACATCATAAATGCTAATTAAGTTTTAGGCAAATAAGTGAAGAGATTCCCATAATATTATGGTCTGGATCAATGTTTAAAAAATTGGTGATCCAGATTGGAACTGGCCAATCCAAATTAGGAATCAGGGAATCAGTCAGACCGATCTGAATCCCACCAATTCCCTCATGAACTGCCAGGTTCCATTAGGTCCTTACCGTTTCTCTAACAAAACCGGTTGGTTCTATCAAAAAACCGGTAGGAAGCAAATCTATATTTTACATTTTTTTTCTTTTTTTAATCACTAAAATAGCTGGTTTTGGCCAGTTCCAACCAGTTCTAGCCATTTCTCTGATAGAACAGGCCAATTCTCCCAATACCAACCCCACTTAATTTTTTTTAATTTTATTTTTTTAAAAATTTTTCTAATCGCTGATCTTTTGAACCAGATTGAAAATCCAGAGGGGCGATCCGGGTCATTGATCCGTTTTCCAAAACCTTGGTCTAGATGCTTAATGCATGTAACAATCAACTTAGACAATATAGCATGAAAAAAATAAACGTGATAGTTTATGCAGTCAACAAACAATGACCAGCAACTCCTCTAATCTTAATAAAGTCCACAAAACTCATTAGAAATGCACAAAAGTTGTTGAAAGTTCAAAATCTGATCAAGCTACTAAGAGTTCTATGAATTATAATCATGCATAGTTTCTAGTGAAACACCTATCAAAAGAAGTGAAAAGCGGTATCCACAAGGAAAAATCTATTTCTAATGTAAGATATGAGATCTAGCGATGTGAACTCAGGGGAGTTACTTCACCTCAGGTACACACATCATCCTGTGATTGGAGGAGCAGTAAAAAAAGGGTATTCACATGCAAACAGGCAACCAAAAGTATGGACATCATGAAGAAGTGACCAAAAGCCATAGATCTGTATAGAAGTCTAGGTTGTGAATTGTGATTATAGAGTAATGTAGAGTGACCTCCTAAATGTGGGTCACTCTGTTCATCTTGGAAAACCAAGAATAATGTGTAGAGGTAGGCTTTTCTGATCTTTACAAAAAGAGAGCAACCAATAACAACAGTTAGATGCCCCATATGCTTATTTTTAAAACCAAAAGCAATGATACCATACTAAATCATGTATGATGTAGACAGAAGCCAGGTACAAATAACAAATATGGTGTAAAGGAATTCAACTTTACCCTGAAGAATATCCTCCCATGAAGAAGGCCATAAGGAATAGCCCCAAATTTCCTTGAATCATTTGAAGTGGATAAATTATCGCCTTCAACCCACACATGCCCTTTGGGTACCTATCCATCCAGACGAACGGAAAACCTTAAAATATCATCCTGTATACAATAGTATATCAAACCAAATCGTCAAATCAAAGACATATCCCACAAACCAATGGTGAACAGTACATGTACATCTGTGGGTCATCTGCCATCCATTCCCTAAGATGGATGGTGGAGATTAACCATAGTAGGCCGCCCTAGATGCTCACCAAGATATAGCTTGTATCTCCACCAACCATCATAGAGAAAGCACAGTGGATGCCCCTTCAATGCACAGTCGATACCATATTACCATATGGTTATTCGCAAAGTCAAATCAAATAAGCCAAGCATCAAGAAGAAGTTACAATGTTCTCTCCGAGATGGCCATTTTCAGTTGACAAATATCTGATATGGTCACCTTCCAAGCCTGTTACTCGCTTAAGAATGACCTTCCTAGGGTTTTCAGGAGACCTCAGTAAGACCAAATCCCCTTGCTTGATCTTTCCAAAATTGGTTGTTATTCGATCGATCACAACTACATCCCCTGTTAAACTCAGAGTGGGAAGCATGCTAGGACCAGATGACTGAAATTACCCATGTTATTCAGAAGATCATTAGTGGATAAAGCAAATAAACAGGAATTTAAAACCTACCCCAGAATAACTAATAATGAACGAAACAACAAAAGCCAAGTTTGATAAGGGAATGTCGACACCATTTACCTTTGGTATAGGAAGGTCACAATAACTTACAACCATTTATTTAACTACCATTTAATTTGGAAATATACTACCATTTAATTTAGAAATGGCTCACACATATACGTGAATCAAAAAATGATTTGAAACCTGGAACACTAAAGATGAGGAAAAAGTGAAAACCCCTAAATAATACATGCTCCATTTTCTATCAAGGGCTGCTACCTTAATCTAATGGCTGGGAAAGAAATCCTAGAGTTGATTATATGCCACCATTTCATTTGGAAGATTGATTTCCATCTATCTTAGGAGTAAAAGAAACCTGATTCAGAAGCCTAATCTAATAATAACAACATTGAAAACATAAGAAAAACTTAGAAATGATTCCATGATACCAATTCTCAGGAAATGGCCAAATCTTCCTCACATTGAACAAGAAAAAAAATAAAAACAAAAAAACCAGGAATTCATTACATGCTACTATGTCATTTGGAAATGAGTTCTGTCTTTATTTAACCCTAAACTATTGATCATGAAAATAGAAGCACCTAGAAACAATTATAGAACAAAAAATATGAAGATCAAAACCCTAGAAGTGATTGTAAATTACCACTTCATTTGATTTGGGAGAAAAAAAAATGCATATTTTTAAATAAAGATTAAAAGGGCAAAAAATACCAGAGCTATTCCACCAACATAAGTGTGAGTAATGTGTACAACACAGGCAAACTTTGTGAAGAAGGATACAGTGTCAAAGGCCTCCCTGGCTATACTCCTCCATGGTATGCTTCTCGCTCGTTCGAACAACCTTCTCGCCATTATCTTTCTCTCTCTAACTCTTAGGAAGCAGCAAGAGTAGAAGATCTCTGCTTCTTGAACATATTCCCTATTCTCTCTTAAGCTTCTCGGACTATCTCTCTCTTGCTCTGTAGTTTCTCTATCCTTCTTGGAATCAATTTTTTCTCTGCAAAGAAGAAATAGACTATTTATTATGGTTTTTCAGTTGCATAGGCGCAGGAAATGGAGAGAGAGGTTCTCTCCAAAAACAAAAACAAAAATGGTGAAACCATTAGTTCGAAATTTTTATTCAAAAAATTATCATTTTAAATTTCTCCCTTTTTACACATTCACGTTCTCCATGTTAGAGATTATACATACTTAAAAGGGAAAAGTTTATATAGAGCTGAGGCTCTAAACAATCAAATTAAAGCCTACCTCCAAAATTTCACTAAAGGCCTGTTTGATAACTCGAAGGTAAATGTTCTCTGGAAATTGGAAGTTCTTCTTTGCTGGGAAGAAAGAAGTTACTGTAAGAAGTTCTGGGTTTCTGTGTTTGATAATCTGCTGGAATGTTAAAGAAGTTCTAAGTACTTGTGTTTAATAACATGCTGGAAGATTAAGAAGTTCTAAAAAACGAATTACACATTATTCATTATTCATTACTCAAGTATACACATATATTTTCATAATTTCATTTCTTCATTTATGCATTCAAAGCATCTAATCGACTATTCATTTCAAATCCCTCTAATTCCACAACAAGATCTTCAATTCTACAACAAGATCTTCAAGCAGAATACAGCATACAATGACCCTTCATGTTTTCCCCCACTAGTTCTCATAGTTGACTGAATCAACTGCATTCCCTGTTGATTCCCCAACCCAATTCCATCGAATAAATAAAAGCTAATAAGAACCAGAGCTCAATCAAGTAGTTTTAACAAAGGAACGAAATATAGAAACCTATGTTCTTTTATCCAGCAAAAAGAAACAGTGACACTACAAAAAATAAAACACAGAGACAGAGCATTATCTATGACAGAAGTATTAATACAGCATGGAGAGAAAAAGATCCTTTCCACTAAGCATGAGACACAAGCAACTTCCACTGATTTTAACATTCCGATGAAAAGGCCAATGAGTAAGTCCATTACAACAACTAGTCATAAACAATCAATCCATTGATCTAAATTTTCATTGATTACTATAGTGTCAATCACATTTGATCAATAACATCAAGGTTCAGATACTGTTCTAGGTTTATAGCGCATTTGATGGGAGATCTTGCATGAAAAAATAAAAAAATCTTAAAGGAGAAGTAAAGGCGATTGGAAATGGCCAAAATATGAAGATCGCAGAGATTTACAGAGCTACCGATGCTACATGAAAAATCAAAGCATCACAGAGAGAGCATGAAAAATCAGTGAAAAATCAAAGCATCACAGAGAGCATGAAAAATCATAGCAACACAGACAAACAAGGAGAGAGAAACCAAACCGATAAGAAACCAAAACAGGTGAAAAAGAAACCGAAAACCCAAAAATCCATCAATAGTAGAAAATTTTGATCTCAGAAATCTGAAAAATTAAAAACAACAAAGAACATACCTAAAATAGCTTCGAGGGTTAAAGAGAGTGCAGGGGGGTGTGAGAGCTCTAGAGAGAGAGAGAGAGAGAGAGAGAGAGCAGAGGTGTGAGAGCGCAGAGGTGTGAGAGTCCTAGTGCAGAGAGAGAGAGTGGAGGGGTGTGAGAGCTGAGAGTGCAGAGGTGTGAGAGCCCTAGAGAGATAAAGAAGGCCGGGGATGAGAGAGAATATAGGAGAGAGATGCATGAGAGAGTACCTGTGCACGAGCAGAGGAGAGCAGCGAGCAGGAAAATGAGGGGGTTTGTTTCAAGAGGAATAGTGGAATGAAGTGAAGTTACTTATTTATCTTGCCATTTTTTATCAAACACAAACGATACTGGTAAGCAACTTCCTCTTTATCAAACACGTCCTAAAAGACGTTCTTTTGACACTCGAGTATCCCCAAATTCATCATCACAACCTCAGGAAGACGTTCTTTTCATACTCAACTATCCCACAAAAAAATTGATTTTAAATTTTAAAAATAATATATTTTGTAATATATTTTTGGAGTGGCAATTTTTAAAATTTTTAAGTCTTTATAGATGCATCAATCTACACTATTTTTGAAGCTTTAAACTTTATAACTAAAAATAAAAATATATTTTGAAGCTACCACAAAAATTTTCGGCATTGAAACCGCATTTCTCGATACTATTTGAAGGTAGGCTCTAATTTGATTGTTTAGAGCCCAGGCTCTATACAAACCGCACCCAATACTTCTTATATTTCATACAAACACTTGCAATTAGAGAACATAAATTTTCTTAAAAAATCTTACTTCATATGAAGAAAATTTTCCGGGAAAAATTTATAAAAAAACCCAATTTGGGTTTTTTTCTTAAAAAGCTCCAAGTTATATATAGGAGACCGTTTTTATGTGTCCTAAGACACATAGATAAATATATGGTCCCTCTTCATGATCAACTTTTTTAGAAAGACTTTTCGGGGAAATTTTTTTCATATGAAATAGTGGTTTAAAAAATCGATCGGTCGCCCGGATCGGACACCCCAAAAACCCATCTGGATAGGTGGATCGGCGATTCGGATCGGGAATCGGTCGAATAGATCGGATTAAGCTTTAAAAAAAATGTAAAAAATTATTAAAATTCATTATAAATGTTGTTTTTTAGGAATCCAATAAGAAATCGGGGTACTACATTATTAATTTTCATTTTTTTTATCAATATGTGAATATTGAGATATTGTTTTGCTGTATGAACTTATTTTAACCATTAAATTACATCACACAAAATAAAAATCATGGAACTCTCATGGATGAAGTATATAATCATACATAGACTACAATAAAGAATAGTTTTTTTGATAAGAACCTTTTAGTTTTTTTGACAGAAGCCTTTTATTTTTTTTACAAGAAATGTTTGTCATATTACACTTTTTTTGTTTTTACCAAGAACCTTTTTTTTTTCTTAAAAAACACCTGTTGTATTTTTTTTTTTTATAAGAACAATTTTTTTTGACAATAACTTTTTATTAATTTTTATTTTTTTGAAAAAAACCTTTTATTTTTTTGACAAAAAAAAAGAAATTTGACAAGAAAAATAATTGATAAGAACCTTTCATTTTTTTTTTTATAAGAAACTTTTTATTTTATTGATAAGAAAACAATTTGAAAAAAAATGAAATTGATAAAAAAAACCTTTCATTTTTTTTATAAGAAAAAAATTTGACAAAAACCGAAATTGATAAAAAAAACCTTTCATTTTTTTTATAAGAAAAAAACCTTTTATTTTTTTGACAAAAAAAAAGGAATTTGACAAGAAAAATAATTGATAAGAACCTTTCATTTTTTTTTTTTTATAAGAGACTTTTTATTTTATTGATAAGAAACAAATTTGACAAAAAACGAAATTGATAAAAAAAAACCTTTCATTTTTTTGATAAGAAAAGTTTTTGATAAAAAGCGAAATTGATAAAAAAAAATGGTTCATTTTTTTTATAAGAAAAAAATTTGACAAAAAAAAATAAAAAAACAACGTTTTCTCTCCAGGGGAGATCCTCTACACACAAAAGGCATTTGATAACCGATATGCCACATGCAACTTAATGATAATTAAAGTGCAAACAAAATATATATTATATTGATGTTTCAAGTTAATACATTTTCACATTATCCCACATCGAAGAGGTAAAAGGAAGTTGTAGTAAATAAATACCTCTTTGTACCCAATGAGGATAACGTGTGTGAAGTAAGAAAAGCCACGTGGCGAGATGTACAAATCTTAGTTTTCTATAATTTTTTAAAACCTATCTTACGCTGAAATTTACAAAAATGCTCATTGCTGAAGAATTGGGTCATGACGTCCCATTAAAATCCTATCTTACCCTAAAATTTACAAAAATGCCCATTGTTGAAGAATCGAAAATGCCCATTGTTAAAGAATCGAATCGTGACGTCACATTAAAATGCCTATTGCCCATTAAAATACTATCTTACCCTAAAATTTATAAAAATGCCCATTGTTGAATAATCAAATTTACAAAAATGCCCATTGTTGAAGAATCGGGTCATGACGTCACATTAAAATGCCCATTGCCCATTGTTGAAGAATAAGGTCATGATGTCATGAATAATCGCGAATGCCCATTGTTGAAGAATCGAAAATTTATAAAAATGCCCATTGTTGAAGAATCGGGTCATGACGTCACATTAAAATCCTATGTTACCCTAAAATTTACAAAAATGCCCATTGTTGAAGAATCGGGTCATGATGTCATGAATAATCGCAAATGCCCATTGTTGAAGAATCGAGTCATGATGTCATGAATAATCTCAAAGACGTCACATGGCCGAACCTATATTACCCTGAAATTTACAAAAATGCCCAACCTATCTTACCCTGAAATTTACAAAAATGCCCATTGTGACGTCACATGGCCAAACCTATATTACCCTGAAATTTACAAAAATGCCTAACCTATCTTACCCTGAAATTTACAAAAATGCCCATTGTTGAAGAATCGGGCAAGTCATGACGTCATGAATCTCCCGATTCTTGACCGAACCTATCTTCCCCAGAAATTTACAAAAATGCCCAACCTATCTTACCCTAAAATTTACAAAAATGCCTATTAAAATGCCCATTGTTGAAGAATCATACGGGTCATGATGTCATGAATCTCCCGATTCTTTGAGAGATGCATGACGTCACATGGCCGAACCTATCTTACCCTGAAATTTATGGAAATGCCTAACCTATCTTACCCTAAAATTTACAAAAATACCCATTAAAATGTCCATTGTTGAAGAATCGGGCGGGTCAGACATCATGAATCTCTCGATTCTTTGAGATATTCATGACGTCACATGGCCGATCGTTCTTCTCTAATTGCCAAGTGTTTTTATGAAATATAAGAAGTATTTCATATATTTTTGAGGGTTTTTTTTTGAGAAAATCACCAATTCCTATAAATAACTAAATTTGATATGGACGCTTTTCGAATTTCTAATATTTTAAAAAAATATTTCATATGTTTTTTCCTTGGAACTTTTACTTTTTTTTTTGTAAAAGATTTTGGACCTTCTAAGTCAGTTTTTAAAAAATTGCCGATTCATATCAAGAACGGTCACTAGTTATTTGCAATCATGGTATATTTTAAAAAGAAAAAACCAACACTACCTCATGGGACACTTTTAGCTCCATACACCCACTCCAAAATTTATTTTCAAGTTGGTATAAATTTATTTATTTATTTATTTATTTATTTTTTTAATTTTTTGAAACTTGATTGCAATTCATATTTCTAAATGCTATATTTTATCCATATTAATTATTATACATTAGACCTATTTATTTGCGAGGGTCGTACTTTTATTTTCTCTTTATTAAATCAAAAGTTCCAAAATAATTATATACTTCATTTTTTTCACTATAAACTTGAGTTAAAAAGATCCATTTTATTGCATTGCATTCCATTTAACTATAAAACGAATATAATCGTTAACAAACACTAAGACATGCGACATGTTCTCTGATATATTTTAAATAAAAATAATTTTAAAAAAATGACCTTTACCCGCTCCTTAAATTTTTATCCCTATTAGCCCCTTAGGATCACCAAAATTCCTTGAACCCCCGCAAGTTTAAAACTTTGGGACCATTAGCCCACTAATTATGTTTTCCTTTGTTTTTTTTGTTGCAAATTTGAACACCAAATGCCAAACCCATACATTAGTCATCTGTAATTTTTTTTGTGACTTGATATACACAGTTTATTGATGATGATGATAATAATAATAACAATTATAATTAATAATAATTATAATGACAACAATAATAATAACAACAATATATTAATTGTTCAATACTTCATCTCTTATAGGCATTTTGAGAAAGTTTTTTAATTAAAAAATAAAATAAATAATAATAATCCATTAACAATAGTAATAAAGATCTTGATTAATCATTTTTTAAGTTCAAAAGATATTGATGCAATTGTAAAATAGGTCGTAATATTAAAAAAATTATTTTCTTTTCATGTCTAAATTTATAGAGTGGCATCTACGGAGGTAAGATTGGTTTAAGGCAACGGAAGAGAAAGAAAGGAAGTTGACTAATCGAAGGGTTTGGAATTTTGTAAAATAAAAATATCAAATTTGTAAAAAAAACAAAGAAAAGCATAATTAAGAGGTAATGGTCCCAAATTTTAAACTTTAGGGGGTATAAGGGATTTTGGTGAACCCAAAAGGCTAATAAGAATGAAAATTTCAGGGAGGTGGGTAGAGGTCATTTTCCCAAAATAATTTAAAACTATAACGCAATGCAACTACTTTTTTCAAAAACCGAAAAAATTGGATTTTTAAAAAAATTTAATTAGTTTGTAAAATTTTGAATTCTCTAGATCTAGCTGATCCGGGTCTCCGGTCTACTGTTCCGACCTTATTTTTAGGTTGGACAATCCAGGTCACCAATCCATTTTTTAAACCTTGCCTACAACCATTAAAAATGATCTGACATCCCAAGGTATATTACATAAATCCAATATTTATTTTATTTTGAACTTTGAACCCCATCAATAGAACACTCTTAACCACCCGCCTTCGTATCCAAAGGTCAAAGCTGTTTGAGAGGTTAGTTTCATAAAGGGCTGTAATAACCGATAAAGATAAAACCCGGTTATAACTATCACGATGCCCAAACAGATTATTTAGATCACCTAAAGGCCCACATAAGGCCCATGCTATGAAAAGAAGAAACTAAAATTTACACTCATGTCCCTTTAAGTATCGTAAGTATAAAAATCCCCATATTTTTATTTTTTATATTTTACTCGTTTTCTCTTTGTTTTTAGTTTTTCCAAAATACCCCCGATACACCTTCAAGTTTCGAAGCTATGAAGCCACTTGGCTTTAAAAAAATTTGAGAAAGTGGTGACTTAAGACTTTCAAGTTCCAAAATCAGGAGTTGTCTAAATGATTTCGGACCTTGAAGATCCGAAATATTTATGATAAGAAAGCTTAATATAAAATAATGCCCGGTATAAAGTTATTCAAAAATCCACTATGAAGTTTTTAAGTACACGTTAAAAAATCATATACATTTATTAAAAAATAAATGTGGAAACTTTTTAACAACACCTCACTCTTAAAATATGGTCTAAGATTGGTGAGGATCTTCTCCAACATGGGAAAAAGAGATGGGTTGAAGCAGCCAACATAAACTTTATCACATCATATCAAGAATCCTAAACGTACATAATGCTTAATGGAGCAGAATAGTGGAATATGATTTGTATAACCGACCCGAACTAGTTGGAAAAAAAACCTCGATGATAATGACGGCAACGTTACTTTCAAAGCATTACGCTGAACCTTATTTAACTTTTTCCTAAAATAAGTATGCATGCCGATGCAAGTAAAACATTTGAAAATAAACATCAATAGAAAGCATTTAATTTCGTCAAGGTACTAATCATTTCCACGGCCCGTTACATAAATAACCAAAACTGTAATTTAACCTAAATCTTCCCACAAAATCAAAGCTTACAAAAGACCTAACTGAAATTATGGGTTTTCATCAAATTAATGTATTTCAGTCTAGTTATATTGTTTTTCCCTAAATAAAAACATAACCCAATTTTGTGGAAGTAGGGACTTGGGAATCAAGCATCCACCAAAAAATCAGTATGGCATACAAAACTTAAGCTTGCTCTAAGTCTCAACATATTTAATGTACAAGTGGGTGTGAAATGAATGGAGAAACAAGATAGGAGGCATATTCGTTTGAGCAAAAACCAAAGGAATAAAGCCACATGAATGATTTACAAGAAAAAGTTTATATAAGAGCCACGTTACTCGTAGAATAAAGATTGCAGTAATTTACACTAATGTGTTATTATCTTAAAAGATATACCAAACATACACTATCCAAATAAAATGAATGGTGTAAAACACTGCAATCTTACTTTTACAGATAAGATTGAGCTTTACATAAATCACACTTATAATATACGAGTTTAGAATATAATGAATGGTGTCAGAACCCTACTTCTATAAGTAAGATTGCTGCCTTATATAAACCGCACGTATAACATACATGCTTAGAATATACATCACTTCTATTTTATTGATGTTATCATTGGATCTCAGTAGGCTTGCTTGCCCCTCGGTTCAACCATTTCTTCCTGTATCTCCATGCCACTTGAATGCGAGTTGCAGCTAGTGCTCTCCAGTATGGTGATTGACACCTGCACCAATTTTTCGATCAAACATTCAATAAGAGAGCAATTCTCAGATAAATCCATAATTTTTCCCTCGATACACGGAGATTATAAAGTTTAGTTAAAATTTCCAACAATCGCTAAAGCTTTTTTTATTTTACAAGAAGAAATGGAGAATTTCCAAATATGCACCCATGAAAGATGGGGCATTTGAATAAGACCAAATTTGAAATCAAATAATAGAAATGGGGAATACTTGAACTTTGCCTGAAATTCAGGTCAGAGAAAATATTTTACTAAATTCGATGTAGGCAGAAGGTATATGCATGTTACTAATGTAAAAACACGGGGATTTTGTTATTATCAGAGGAAAATGCGATGACTCAAACACAATATCCAGGATATGGGTATTGTAACCATTTTTGCTTTTATTTTTGCAAAGGTAATTTCCAACAGATTTTTGGTCAAACTTTGGCATGATGTGCTCCAAGAATGACAATTAGCTCCCTAATCTAAAGTTCCATAAATAGACTTCAAAAAATGAACACACAAACAAAATGCCATATGTCAGAAATGGATATCATAATGGAAATTCAGATGGTAGTTTAACTTCCTTAAAGCAGAAAACCAGCAAATATTTGACCTTGCACCAAAAATTCACTTTTTTTCTTGAGAAATACTAAAAATTCACTTTTAAGCTGTGATCATGACCTGATGATTCGTATAACTTCAGGGTTCCTTAGGAATCGCATAAATAGAAATGGAACTTCCTCCAGATCAGAACCTCGGAGCACAAAAGCTATGACATTTGATATACATTTCACTTTTCTTCTGGAAATTAATACATGCTCCATGAGCCGCATTTTCTGTTTATCTGCAAAACAATAATGGAGCCAACACTCCCTAAGTTTCCATGCCAAACAATCCCAGTATAAGTCTCTCTCTCTCTCTCTCTCTCTCTCTCTCTCTCTCTCTCTCTCTC